GCAAAAATGGAGGCTCTAGACCCTTCCAGAGCTGGGATATTGAGATATTTATAATAGCATAAATGCTACATGGGATCTCAATATCTCAGCTCTGGAAGGGTCTAGAGCCTCCATTTTTGTACTCAGGTCCAAGTCCCATGGCCCTCTATCAGAATCCAAAGTTTCAAGAAGATCGGAGAAACTTAAAATTTCGACCCCCCCAAAAAAAGTTTCTCCAATCTTCTTGAAACTCTGAATTCTGATAGAGGGTCATGGGACTTAGGCCTGAGTGCAAAAATGGAGGCTCTAGGCCCTTCCAGAGCTGGGATATTGAGATATTTATAATAACATAAATGCTATGTGGGATCTCAATATCTCAGCTCTGGAAGGGTCTAGAGCCTCCATTTTTGTACTCAGGTCCAAGTCCCATGGCCCTCTATTAGAATCCAGAGTTTCAAAAAGATCAGAGAAACTCAAAATTTCGACCCAAAAAAAAAAAAAAAAAAAAAAGACAGTGTTACCCCTGTCTTTTTCTTTTTTGTGCGAAAAAATAAGTTTCTCCAATCTTCTTGAAACTCTGGATTCTGATAGAGGGCAATGGGACTTAGGCCTGAGTGCAAAAATGGAGGCTCTAGACCTTTCCAGAGCTAAGATATTGAGATATTTATAATGGCATAAATGCTACGTGGGATCTCAATATCTCAGGCCCGGGAGTGGTCCCAGGACATTTGGTAAATATAGTGGGTTATTGGACAAATAGTGGGTTTGTGGGACAGGGGCGTGGCCCTGGAGTGGGCGGGGGGTGGTCCCGTGACATTTGGCAAATATAGTGGGTTATTGGACAAATAGTGGGTTTGTGGGACGGGGGTGTGTCAGTGGGCGGGGGGGGCCGGTCGCCCTGTGGAAGCGGTGGTCTGTTGGACAAATAGTGGGTTCGTGGGACGTTTCGAGGGTGGCTCCACCGAGGGGGCCTTTGCGGAACTGAGTCGGGGGTCCCGAAACTTCGGGCTCCTCCCGTCGGCTCACCTCGCACCTTTCTCCAAAAATTTCGGGGGGCCGGCGCACTCGTCCGCCAACCCACGCCCGTTTGTCCATGGCCCAAGGACAGAATGGACCTTTTTTCGGCCTTGGACTAGCTAGAGTTACTGGAAATCGAAATACAGTGACTTGCTGGCAACCGTCCTGCCAGTACTGGAAAAATACAAGAAAACACACACAGGAAATGACTCTAACATGAATGCATTGGTTGATACCTAGGTTTATTTTGTTATGAATAAACAAATGTGCAATATAAAAGAAAAACCTTACGATTAAAGTTGTAATGTTACAATGTTCAAGTTTTTTTTCTAAAAAAAGAAATATGCACACAGAAAATGACTCTAATATGACCAGATTGATTGATTTGAATATATTTAGTTTGTTACAATGTGCAATCTGTCAAATAAAAACCTCAAAATTATAGTTGAAATGGTATACTGCTGGAATTTTTTTTGACCTTGAAAAGAAGCTTAATGTATAGACCAACAAATTTTATGTTTATTAATTTATTTCATGTTGGTACATTTTTGGGAAGTACACCTGTTTTGACCTGGTGTCCATTGGAATGGACAAAAAAAAAATCACAATGAAAGCAATTATATATATTAAAAAAATATTATTAAAATAAACAATTATATATAAATGTTTTCATTTATAGAAACCTCATGAGCTGGGAAAATGTACTTTTATATTTTTTAGAAACTTGAAACATAATTCAGGTCTGAGGGGGTTAAACTTCAACAGAGAAGGCTATCCATCTACAAGTTAACGCTTGTCAATGTAGCGAGGCCAGACCAAGGGGGTAATCCACCAGCCGTAAACTAAAGTCTCCCTGAGGGCCGCCAGTCGCTAGCAAGCCTTCACCTGCTGTTTGCATTCCATTGACTTCCATTCATTTTGGCGTCACTTTGACAGTGAATAACTTTACATTTTAGGCGTTTAAAAGGCTCCATTACCTTGTATCTTATGCTATGGCCCGTAGAAGCAGTTTTTGTAAAAATAGGCTTACGATTGCATCATAACACGTGACTCTGTCGCACAGTAGAGAAATTACCGTATAAACAGTAGGAGAAGCTCACAGGCAAACGGGGGGACGTGGAGGCATTAAGTCAAGGGAGAAGCCCATAGAGAGTTGTACATTGCTCCTACTGTGAGCTCATGGACAGCTAATACTCACGATCTCCGGCTCTGCAAGATTCGGAAGGGAATTGTTTGTGATCCACATCTACGTCATCAAGCTCAGTTTGAGCCTGCGCCATACGCTCAGCCATCAGGAAGTGAGTGTTTCTAATTGACTTTTCCATTTCTTTTACTGTCTATGGGCCAGACTCACTGTACAAATGAAATAGTACGAGAGTCTGGTTGGACCAGGCTAGTATTTGGGGGCGAACATTATGAATTATTGTTTATCCTATTGCTTCCCTTATCATGCCAGTGGAATTTGGGGATTAAGGGTAATGAACTGCACAGAAAGATTTTTTTTAGCTAGCGCCGCAGGATCATGATCTGAACTGCTATTTAACAAACAAAAGTCAAGCCAAAATACATTCATACAGACCACAGTAATTATCCACCACTCCTTCACAACATCACACTTTAGGTACATCAGTACACACCCAGTACACAGAGCAAACTATTGGTTAGTGAGTCTGTTTAGTGAAAACATTTGTTGGATAGAGCAATGACACTGCTGCTCTAAACATTTATGGAAAAGGTTTCTGCTTTGAAGAAACTATAACATAATAATACAAAATAAATAAATGAGAGACAGGTTGGCCTATTACTTTTAAGTTGTTTCAAACCTGTGTGTTTATTTCTTCTGTTGAACACAAACCCATGTGTTTCTTTCCTCTGTTGAAAATGATGAATAATACTGGCAATCAAACACTTGACTCAGCTCTATAGCATGGGAAATATCTTCAAAAATACATTATGATGATGTCGCTGAACAAAAAGTGTCGGTTAAAGTTTTTTTTTTTTTTGACAACTAACATGGTAATACTATGATTACTCTGAAGTACCTGCAGAAATGTGTACTTTGGCAAAAAGAAGGTCACGTGGCCAATATCACTAATTTGCTTATTTGAGAAACAAGTAATGATCTTGAATAGTTCTCATTCATTTAGTAAATGTTATACTGCTTTAATTTTTTTTTTACAATTTTTGTTCAAAATCCCAAATCTCTCCTTAATTTAAATTTTAAATCCACCATTTTAATTGTGGTCACCAGTGTGGCTTTTCATGTTAGAAGTTTGTGCAAAGCATATGAAAAAAAAAATCAATAATCCTCCAACCAAAGTAGTTAAATTATTTTAAATTCACCTCCATTTCCCTAGATTTTTAAAATTGTAATAATGCTCTCCTTTAAATTTAACTTTTGAATCCAAGATTTTCAGTGTGGTCTCAGACTATTGGACCCCATTTTTTTTTTTTTTTTTTTTTTAACTTTCAATCAATCCACCAAACATAAAAAAACATTCTTTAGTATCAAAATGCATAATACAGAAAAAGACCACAGGACAGGACAAGACAAAGGATCACAAATGATTCCAGATGTTGTAAATCTCAAAAACCAAAGCAGTCATGGTAAAACCACCAACAGCTTGGCTTCATTTTATTTCATAATAAATTCTTCATCTGCATCCTTCATGAGTCACGCAACCCTGTATTCTCTAACAACAGCGAAAGCTAATATTTCCAGTACTTCAATAGTAATGTGTCTGATGCCATGCCCTGAATACAGTATACAAACACTATACGTCTGGCCCTGAGGGGGTTACTGTTGAAGTTGAATGGCTTGTTTTAGCAGTTAAATGGGTTGATGAAAACTCTCCCCAGCTAAGAATGCTTCTTTAATGTTGAAATGGAGTGACAGAAATAAAGAATGCTATGAGTTTGAGTGGGTGTTACTCATCCAATGCTTTGGGGTGTGTGCATAGAGTCTAAACACAACAGCCTATAAGTACGCACATCTCTGATGCACACTCACAGTTCCTGACTGACAAACAAGAAACATGGACAAGAACGTGGACATGATTATCGACAAGGCTGGTAAGTCAGAAACATATTTGATCATCTTTTTGTTCTTTGGAAGGTTACATTAACTTGAAATTGATGTCTGAAAACCAATGCAACTTCTAAGAAGTGGCCCGTGCTATTAATTTCTGTAATTTACAGCTAAACTTATACCTTGCATGTACAGACAGCATTATTAACTCTTGTAAAATGTTTTACTAGCTGGGGTGGCCAAGGAGAAAGTTGGAGCAATGATCGGAGGAGACAAGAAAAAGGCAGGAGCTGCAAAAGAACAGGGGGAAGGAGGTAATATTTTGCTTTTCTTTTAAAAGGAGCTATTGGGAAGATAATCTAAACATATTCACCCAGTTTAAATCTCTCTGATCAATGCATTCTGTCTGCGTAGGCATCGGCGGTATGTTGAGCGGTGCGGTCGGCAAGGCTGCAACAGACGCTGCAGGCAATAAGGCAGCCGAGCAGGCGCTGGCCTTTGGGAAAGGCCTGTTGAAGTAAAATTGAATATTTTAAACATGAACTTTTACTATCTCACTCACAGCTGTCTGCCAACTGGACCCCATCCATCTGCAATTATACTCTAACTTTCAACATTGAATAATACTGTATGTATCTCCAGCAGTCTAGAAATGATGCCTGAAGCAGATAACTTTCTGTATACGTCTGTTTTGCACCTTTTTGAGCTCTGTAACTTAAAAAATGTTAAAGTTATTTGTATAAAAAAAACTTTCAGAAATAAATTATGGAATATTTAGATGATGTTAATAAAACTATCAGTGAAAGAAATAATTAAAGAGCAATTGCTGTTAGTGGTTGAGTTTGTTCAAGTTTGTTTATATATTTTAACCATCTTTTGAAATGTTTGACATGATTTCTGAAATTGTCAAACTGGATAAAATGTTTTAAAATGAGAGAAACATCATGGAATCAATAAAATCCATTGCTAACACTCACTGATGTTTGTTCTGTTGTTTCCCCACCAACGTTATGTCACTTCCTTGTGGGAATCAAAGAAGTGTTAATGAACTGGTTTTGGTTAAAGGGATATTGGACTATACCTCTTAAAAGAGATCTAGTGTGTTCCAGTCATGTTGATCATATTTAGGAGTTGAATGCACTTGAATGGCACCAAATATATACGTAATTTTCTTTGAGTCACATAATTTTAAAATAAATAAATATTTTCTTTATAGTAAAACTAGCTATGTTGCATGCTCAAAATAGTATTGTACAATATATACAATACAAATAATTCAGTATACAAGACCTTCACAAACAGAATAAAAATTAATAAGTGAAGACCGAAATCATCTTTTTTATATCCCCATGTTACGGACCCACTGGGGATCATGTTTTACAGTTTTACCTGATTTCCAGCAGTTAAAGGGCGACAGATTTGTCACAGTTAACTTTTCACTGTGCAGATTAAAATGCTTTCCAAGTTATTGTTAAAGGGGTGATCAACTGAGAATTCAAATTTTCCTTGAGCTTGACATCTAAGAGGTTATCATATTATAAGAATATCCTGTACGTTTCAGAACTGAAAGTGTCCTTGTTAGTCCAATAAAATCTTTTTTTGACACCAGCCACAGCAAACGACTCGTTTTTCAAAGTGGGGAACTATGACATCAAAGAGGATAAAACACCACCCCCGCAGAAGAAGATCAACGCCTACTTCAACACGTCCGGTTTAGCCCCGCCCACCGATTCGAGCATTACACACATAGCTAAATAACATAGGCCTGCCTACCTCGCGTTCACAAACGGGGTCGAGAGTGAAACTCATTATAATATGCAAAACTGTTATCCACTCACAGCAGTAGGTGTTTACTTCCAAGTCTTCAATGCGTCTTCAATATTATATATATATAATAATAAGTGAAATATAATATATAATAGGTGAAATATTGCCAGAACACTGCGGAACGCAAGACATCCACTAAGGCTGTTGGTTCGTTCCTTTAATAAAAACTGAACAATAACTATTGAAATTGTTATGAAATATTTTAATTAATAATATATCCTAATTATTATTTATAATGGGAATGTAACAATTAACTACATGCTAAGAATTCATTCATGTGGAAATGAAGGAATGTCAATAATATGGTGACACTGAGAAATGGATAAAAATGACAACAGAAAATATATGATGGTTGTTTTATTCTCAACAAAAAAAGGCAATATAAATTTCCAAAACATAGTTCCAGATATGGGTGCAGATAAGTTTGGTGAGCAACTTCCTGCTCTCCTTTAAGCACAAGTGCCCCAGGCCCTCTAGGTTTAAAACATTAGCTGCATGCTAACAACTATCTGATCTCTAAAAGTTATGGGGAATGAACTGCCTTGGATACAAAAAACATTGTTAGCTAGCCTAGAACTTCATTACATCTCTAGACCAAAACGGCTGGGTTTTCCTTTGTGTGATGTAAATTCATGGCATTAATTATAGTGACAAAGAAAATAATTTCTCTCAGTATAAAACTCCCACTCACATGTGTAAGGCATCTTTAATACTCTTCTTCTACTGTAGCAATAACCTTGTACAACATGACAGAACAAAAACACAGCATGTTGAAGTGATATTTTAGAGGAAGCCAGGGCCAATATGACAAATCAACAGACATTTAAAATCAGCTGCATTTGAAGAGGATCACATTAGTTTACCACAGATAAAAAAGGGACAAAATAAACAAGTTGCAACAAGAAACTCTTGAGAAACCCGATTATTGGTGTCAGTTTGTTTTGAGACCACATCATATATACGTAGCAGTGAAACTTGCAGCATCAGAACAGAATAAACCACTTAATAGCTCTCAAACTCATGGGGACGGAGATTTCGAGATATGATAGTGTGATGGTGTTATAATAGAGGTTAGGCTGAAGGAAATTATACTTAACATATGTTAAGAGTTGTGAAGAGGGAAATTGAGAGGTTTTTGTCTTCTTTTTGCAAAGGGAATTGTGTCATTTATGTAAAAGTCAGACCAGCCTCATTGTACACCTTGAAGACCTTCTCGATGGCATTGACGTAAGCTGCCGTCCTCAAATCCAAGCCCAGGTTGTACTTATTTGCTGTGCGCATAATTTGCTGCAAAGGAAAATATTACTTCATGAATACAGGTTTGACTACATACATGCATATTTACAAAGCAGAAAAAGCATCAATAAACATTGACAACATCTGTGCAATGGGCGAGGTGAACTTCTTTGCACGGTGATCATTTCACACAATCCAAAAATGAGCCTAGAGCGAGGGCTGAACATTACAACGATTTTTAACCGTTTCATGGCAATACAACTCTGTTATAAATCAGCTGAGAGGGAATAAAGAGCGGTTCCTGCTCTACCTGTTACTGTTTTACAGGCAGTGTAACCGAGTCGTTCTATGGGCGTCAGCTTCAGCTTGTATAATGACCCTTAAGACATAAAAATAACTTACCCTGGCCGACCTCTCCATGGTGTAGGCAAGACCAGAGTGCACAATGTCCTTCTCAGAGGCTCCCTGTGTCAAACACAAACCCATCACATTAATGCACAAACTTGACATAAGGGTTAAGAATCGCAGGTCCTAAACAGAACTCAAAGCCTTTGTTCACAAAAGCCTGTTTTGTGTGTTTTTGTTAGTTTTTTCAGAAAGTATCTGGTATAATTTTAAAATCAGCTAGCGTAGTGATTGTATATGCATTTGTATGTGCATGCATACGCATGCATGTGTGTGTGCACACACTTTTTTATTTTTTTGTTTTAGCTGCTACCACTACTATTCACTAAATGGATTTGAAATGGTTATGCTAATTAATACAGATAAATAATAAATAACTAAATTGAATCTAATAAAATTAATGCATAAAAAAAAACATGCACACAAGGCAAAGAATGTAAATCTTTGTGGACACTCACAGCTACGCGGGCCTGGAAATCAGCAGTAGGGACAATTGGGATGGGGCCGCCCTGCTTTCCAAACTTCCTTTCAAGACTCTCTTGCACAGACACTGGAAGAAAGAACAAAAAAATAAAAGGTTTGTCATTTATCAAATTCCCTTCAGCAGAGGTTGAAAAAGTGCACCCTTAAATTGTGCTTTTATGCATTTGATCAAATATCAATTACTAAGCATACATTTGAAAAATGTTACATTTAAAAAAAAAAAAATGATTATTTTAAAGTTGACTTTTATGCTACACTGATTTTTCCTAAAAGGGGCCAAAAATCAAGCCACATTTATTTATGATAATTTACTTGTATCTTTATTTAATTATCATTTATTTATGAAATTAGTACCGTCACACTGTAATGTTAGCCAACTTCAGTCACACTGACACATTTCTTCAAAAGCAAACAATTCACAAATCTGACTCAAAATGAGCAAAGAATTGGAGATCCTCGGAACTTGAGTGTATGCATGACTCGTGGTGCGAAAAGTAAGTTAATGCTGAACTTAAGGATTGATTATTGTGCAAAAAAAATTCATATGCATGTCACGACTGTCAGTTATCTGTGAACTAAATCTGCTGTAAAAGGACGAACGGTTTAGGCTCACTGTAATGGTTGAATGTGGACATCGTATCACAATCTCAACGGGGTTATGTAAAATAACTAAACAAAATAAAAGAACACAGATTAATCCCTATGCATCTTCCCCACTGCTGTAGCGGTTTCAAATAAAAAATAAATAAAAATTGCCCTATGTGATGCCTGTTTTTATATTGTTTGTCAACTATATTTAAATACTATATGCAGTGCTGTGCCTGAACTCATTCATATTTTGGTCGGACGTGAACTGAACGTACTGTATTTCTGCCTGATGAACGTTACAGTGAACTTGTTCATTCTGGTGTCTGTGAACGCACACTCTCTCAGTTCAACTTTGTTCAATAGGGCGCCAGATTTCTATAGAGCCTTCCAGGCGAAAACACACTGGCCTTAATATGTAGCATTAAAATAATTTCTGTCTGTGGTTGTATTTGGGCTTTGGCAATAATACAAATATACATGTATATATATAGCTCGCAGCAACATATGAAAAAAAATAACTATGAACTAGTTCATTTTTGGAACTTGTGAACTTAGTTCAAAATTGTGAAGTATGAAATATGAACTGAACTAGTTCATTTTAAAATTTGTGAACTGACCTTTGGACTAGTTAATGTAGAAAGTGAACTTTCCCAACACTGCTAAAATGACAGAATCAATCTTTGGGAATAAAAATATATTTGAAGTGTAATTGGATTTGATAGTTTGGCTCAGTCCCATTCGATTACGTGTAGAGGGCGGGGTTTATGACCTATACTGCAGCCAGCCGCCAGGGGGCGATTGAAATGCTTTGGCTTCACTTTTCAGAACTTGTTTTCAGGACTTTCAGGCATGGCATGGCATGTATAAAGCCAAAATTTAAAAATGTTGCCTTGGCAACAAACAGAAATAAACAGAAATATAATGAAAGTGAATCACAATGGAGTGATACAATGAAAGGGAATCACAAGGGAAAAACAAGACTAATAGAGTTGTGGAGAACATTCTGAAGAGATCAAGATGTTTGTTGGCAGAAATAGCTTTGAATACTGTCTCCGATGCATTCATGATGCAAGTTCAGCGCCACCTCTATTGATTCACGCTGCTACTCTTAGGGCGACTGAAGCCGATGGGATGCTGTAGTGCTGTGCTGGAAGTTTAAAAACATACTCAGCAGGTGGTAGTTGGAGTCCCTCTCGTACTTGAAGGTCAGGCGCCCATAGCTGACATGGTTCAGGTTTTTCAGCCACTCAAAGTAGGAGACCGTGACACCTCCAGCGTTCAGGTACATGTCCTGCACATCAAGAAATATATTATTCCAATGTCCATTTTTCTGAAGCACGTCAAAGTTTGAGAGGAGATGACAAATTTCTCTTACTGGAATGACCATGATGTTCCTCTCTACGAAAATCTTGTCAGCATCTGGTGTAGTGGGACCAT